GCAGATTTGATTGTATAGTTACTTGATAGTGTCAATAGTTTATGTACCTAATTATTTGTTTGTATGCGTGATGGCCAGTAACAATCTTTCATTTCCATATTCCACACTCCATTAAGAACTTCTTGTAAAGTGAAAGGTGGTAATGAATTTCTTTGGCACTTCTTTATTCTGAAAAGGTTCTTCTTTCTTTCTTTTTTTTTTTTTTTTCTTGAGACGGAGCTTTGCTCTTGTTACCCAGGCTGGAGTGCAATGATGCAATCTCGGCTCACCATAACCTCCGCCTCCTGGGTTCAGGCAATTCTCCTGCCTCAGCCTCCTGAGTAGCTGGGATTACAGGCACGCGCCACTGTGGCCAGCTAAGTTTTTTGTATTTTTAGTAGAGACGGGGTTTCACCATGTTGACCAGGATGGTCTCGATCTCTTGACCTTGTGATCCACCTGCTTCGGCCTCCCAAAATGCTGGGATTACAGGTGTGAACCACCACGCCCAGACCAAGGTTCTTATTTCTCCTTCATTTATAAAGCTTAGTTTGGGTGTATGTAAAATGCCTTGTTGGAATTTTATTTAGGAATACTGAATATAGGCCCTCATACTCTTCTTGTTTGTGTGGTTCCTGCTGAAATGTCTGCTGTTGCCTGGTGGGGTTTGTAGTTGCCTCTTCTGTTGTAGTTGACCTGCCCTTTCTCTCTAGCTGTCTTTAGCATTTATTCTTTCTTGTTAACCTTGGAGAATCTAATAACTATGTGTCTTGGGGATGGTCATCTTGTATAGTATCTTGCAGGGGTTCTCTTCATTTTCTGGGTTTGAATGTTGACCTCTGGAAAAAGGTTGGAGAAATTTTTATAAATGATATCCTCAAATATGTTTTCCAAGTTGCTTATTTCTCGCCCTGTCTTCCAAGGATACCAATGAGTCTTAGATTTGGCCACTTTACATAATCCCACATTTCAGTTTGGTTGATTGACTGAATTGATTGATTGGTTGGTTGATTGATTGATTAGTTTGGCAAACCAGTTTTAAGCTCTGACATTCTTTCCTCAGCTTGGTCTATTTTGTTGTTAATACTTGTGATTGCATTATGTAATCCTTACACTGAGTTTTTCAACTGTATCAGATGAGCTCGTATTTTTCTTAAAGTGGCTACTTCATCTTTCAGTTCCTATATCATTTTATTGTAGTCCTTAGATTCCTTGAATTGGGTTTCAACTTTCTTCTGAATCTCAATGATCTTCATTCTTTTCCGTATTTTGAATTCTTTGATTGTTATTCCAGCCATTTCAGCCTGGTTAAGAACCATTGTTGGGGAACTAGTACAGTTTTTTGGAAAAAAGAAGACATTCTGATTTTCTGAGTTGCTGGAGACTTTGCTGATTCATTCTCATCTATATGGGCTGATGTTCCTTTAACTGTGGTGTGATTTGAGTATAGTCAGTTGTCTTCATTTCTGGATGTTTTCAGAGGGCTGAAGCTTCGTGCAGGGTCTTTATTTGAAGCTGAATTATTACCCTTGGTTTCACTGAGGGGGTACATTAGCAAAGTATTTTTGGTGTTGATGTTTGGGCTGTGATTCAGTAGATGGTTCTGAGGTGTAATGGCCAGTAGGTATACTCTTATTCAGCCATATTGTTCTTCTGTATTTCCTCACAGTTGTGGTCATGCTTCCTTTTAGTTGTCTGATGGTGTGGATTCCTCTCCCGTTGGAGTTCTTACTGCAATCTCAGTTTGGCACACCTGGCCTACACACAACACCGCTGGGGTGAACTCAGGCTTCCTCCCCAGTTTGGGGGTGGCAGGGACCATGACTTTGGCAGTGGCAATGGCAGAGGACCTTTCACTTGTTTATTGGGGTGCCACCCCATAGAAACACAGAGCCACTACCAATCAGAATGATCAGTCTGGGCTGGGGTGACTGCATTGTGGGCTCAAGCTGGGATCCCCTGCTTGGTGATGAGCAGGGGAGTGGGGGGCTCACAGGGAAGATAGGCTGGCCTCTTCTATTTAGGGTGACTTCAGTCTGGTGGTGGTCTCAGTAAAGCACTCAGGGTCTTTGTTCCTTCCCCAGTCTGAGGGCAGCAAGGGCAGTACCAGTGCAGTGGCAGTGGCAAAGGGGCTTTCAGTTGCCTCTAGGAGCTCTACCCCAGAGAAATACAGAGCTGCTACCAGGGGAATGTTCCACCAGGGAGTGTGGTGGTTGCTTTGCAGACCTGAGTCAGGGGCCCTGCTTGGTGAAGAGCAGGGAGTCAGAGGCTCACAGGGAGGAGAGACTGGGCTCATTTCCATATGGCAACTGCAGTGTGCTGGAGGCATGAGTAGAACCCTCAGGCTCTTTTTCCTACCCCAGTTCAAAGACAACAAGGGGAGAACTGCTGAAGTGGCAGGGTAGAGGGTTTGTTGGTTCCCTCTGGGAGCTCACCAGGGATGCACAAAGCCACTACCAGTGGGAATGCTCAGATGGGGGTGGGGCAGCTGCTCTGTGGTCCTGAGCCAGGAGCCCTACCTGGTGAAGAATAGGGGATGGAGACTCACAGGGAAGAGAGACTGGCCTCCTCTCTGTATTGTTGCTGTGGTGTGTTGGAGGTGCCAGTGACATAGCCAGGCCCTCTGTTCCTTTCCCAGCCCATGGGTAGTAAGGGTGCTTCCATTCCAGCTACAATGGGAGAGTGGTGGTAGGTTTTCTCTGGCCATTTCCTTTGTTGAGAAATGCAGAACCTCTACCAAGTGGAGCCTTTAAGTAGCAGCAGGATGATTGTGTTGGGGTTCCAGGTCAAGAGACCCCGCCCAATGGAGTAAAAGGGGCAGGAATCCACATGGAATACTATCTGGGTACTTTTCTGTAAGGCAGCTATGCTTGCTAGGGGCCCACTTTAGCTCTTAATCACTTTTCTCCCTCCTGAGACTCAGGGCAGTAGGGGCTGAAGCTGCAGAGTAGCAAAAATGATGGGCCTGCCTGCCACCACTGGGAGCTTGGTCCCAGGGAAGCACAAAGCTGCTGCCCGCCGGATAGCCCAGGTAGCAGTGGGGTGGCTGGGGTCCCAGGTCAGGAGGCCCTGTCCACTGAGAAGTGCGACCTGTGTGGAAAACAGTCTGGCTGCTTTCTCGTAAGGCAGCTGCACTGTGTGGGGACCCATGTTAGTCATTAATCATTTTGCTCACTCCTGAGCCTGAGAGCAGTAGGGGCGGGAGCTGCAAAGCAGCAAAACTGGCAGGTCTGTCTCCTTCCTTTTGCTGCTCCATCCTCAGGAAGTGCAGGGCTGCTACCAGTGGAGAGCTTAGGAGGGCATGGGATGGTCAGGCTAGGGTCCCAGGCCAGTGGGCCTTGTCTGGTGGCATGCAGTATAGACGAGGCCTGTAGTCCATCTGCTCCTCAGCCCCGTGGATTCAGCCACTATCCTTGGGGTCCCTAAAAGAGACTGGCCTCATCTATTGCTGGAGTTGCAGCCATTGGCACCAGGATGCCCAGAAGTCCAAGGACCCTCAGACTCAATGTGTGCCTGAGGGTAGCTCTGCCCAGACTTTTTGTGGCTGTCTTCATCGGTCTAGAAGCAACGAGAGTGCTACAGGGAATCAATCTCCTGAGGCCAGTGTGGCAAAGGTTTTTGGCAGAGTGCCAGAGTATGGGTTCCTGGAGCCTCTCACTCATTTCCCTGCAGTAGGAAGACTCCTGACCCACACCAGTCCTGGATGGGTGTTCATCTTGTCTCCTTCTACTCTGTTTTTCATGAGTCATGTTGCTACCTTGATGAATCCCACCATGTCTGGTTGGAAGATCGAGTTGAAGAGCTGATGTTTACTCACCACTCATTCTCCTCTCTATGACAGTGGCACACACTGGCTGCTTCAAGTCAGATATCTTGGTCCTCTCCCTCTCTTTGTTCATTAATGAAGTTGGTGAGTATTTAGAAGGCCTCCTTACCACACAAAGTGATACCACATCCAGGATCCAAAAACAAATCACAGAGGATGCATATATAGTTTTTACAAATCCCAACTTTTTATTGTTAGGTTTAAGTAGCACAAAATTATATATTGCATTAGATGTCATATAAATGCCAAATTATCACAAAAGATTCTAAATGCTTGCTCTCAATGTCTTTACTTATCTTATTGTGGTCAATTACACATGGTTCATGGACCAACATTGTTTTAGGAGACAGTATTTCTATCTATATTTTTTATGGTAATATGGCAACCTATTGGTCTTAGTTGGCTATTAGTTCTTGATTACTTTATATAGTACCAAGTCCTTTTTGCTTTTTTCAATCTGTGTTTCTTAAGGTAAAATTTAACAGGAGTGAATCAAAGACTTTGCAAATGGACCCTAAAGCCAATCATACAAATAAAGAATTAAAAAAAAATCACAGTAACTTCTGTAAAAGTATTTAAGGGTTTCATTTATTAAAAGGTCAATATAAATCAGTTCAAATCAGTAGGAATCAATAATCCAATAGAAATGGGAAGTAGGTAAATATTTCATTTTGTCTTTTTCCAGTATTCACTGTAGTATCCTTTTTGGTTCTGTGTACTTTAAAAAAGAAAGAAGGGCCGGGCGCGGTGGCTCAAGCCTGTAATCCCAGCACTTTGGGAGGCCGAGGCGGGTGGATCACGAGGTCAAAAGATCGAGACCATCCCGGTCAACATGGTGAAACCCTGTCTCTACTAAAAATTCAAAAAATTAGCTGGGCGTGGTGGCGCATGCCTGTAATCCCAGCTACTTGGGAGGTTGAGGCAGGAGAATTGCCTGAACCCAGGAGGTGGAGGTTGCGGTGAGCTGAGATCGTGCCATTGCACTCCAGCCTGGGTAACAGGAGTGAAACTCCGACTCAAAAAAAAAAAAAAAAAGAAAAGAAACAGAGGTGCAGAGTAGAAGAAAACTCTGGGACACTTAAGTGAAGAACTGGACAGAGTTGAAAAATTCTGTAGCATAAAATGCATGGATGGGTCTAGGGGAAAATAAAAACCCGATCAGAATGATTTTGATTCGTGTTTTCTTTTTTTGAAGTATTTTAGAACAATGACTCTTGGAGCAATGGGCAACAGGCTTACAAGCAGTGAAACCAGTCTGCAGTCTAAGAGAGATGATGGAGCAAGTAACATTGGATAAGGAGAAGTGCAGACAAATCTGAGAGTAATGGAAAAGCAAAATCTGTAAGATTTGACTCATTGTGTATCAGGTGAGAGATACACTTAATTTTCCCCTTTCACCAGGAAGAAAAATAGGAAAAAGTTGTTAATAGGCAACTCCAAGAAGAGTAAACACACATAGCTATTAATTAAACTTAGTCATTATGTTGAATCTTACTTTTAATAATAGTAAGTGCAAATTAAAACAATACCAATTTTTCCAGCTGTGAGAGAGCAGCAAGTACTGGAATCTGGTCAAATCTCAACATGCAGATGAAAATATAAAGAAAAGAAACAGGAACCGCCTGGGCTGATCAGTAAACATGACCCCTTTAATTACCTATAAAAGATAGATAACAACACCACTATACCTACTACCAAACATTTGTTAAGTTCATGCTGAGTTTGAGATTAGCTGCAGTGCTGAGTTTAGACAACCTGCCTCAGCTAGAGACAAATTGGACTAAAAATATAAATGCCGTTGAAGAGAAGAGATCTCTGGCTCATCTGGAGCATCTGAGGGAAATTTTCAACTTATTGTTTTCTAATGGACTTCAGACAGTTTGAGACCTGGCTAGGTGATGTATTACTCTCAGGGACGGACAGCTTTTATTGGTAGAGTTTTCCTAGCCTTAGTCTCAGAAAACCTTTATAGATGCTGACTCCTTGATCCCATTTCCTAAAAATGATAATAATCTATGCTAGGCAGCTGTCGGGAGATGAGCATTCATGCACACTGATGAAGGAAGTAAACGTTCAAACCAGCTTTCTGCAAAGCAGTGGTTTACTATGTGGAAGAGACTTAACAATAATGTTCATTCCCTTAGTTGCAGTAATTCCTCTTCTGGAAAGCTGTTTTGTGGCAATAAGCAGGAATGAGGTGATAAATGTTTGAAGATGCTTATTGGAGTTTTATTTATAATTATACCTAAATACATAAAATATTATAAATAACCTACGATAAAGGAATGGTTAAAATCTCAATACAATTCTATGCAGCTAAGGTATAATATTATAAAAAGCAAGTTGCAAAACAGAATATATATATATATACACACACATATATATGCATGTGTGTGTGTGTATACACACACTAATTTTTCAAGACAAGTATAATACATTAAAATATTAACAGTGTATCTCTGTTATAGAATTAGATGTTCTTAAATTTTTAACTTTTTAATGTTTTGTATTCACTACACTGAGAATGCATTGCTTATATAATCAAGAAAAAACCCATATTTAAAAATTTCTGTTAGATCAAGTTTTATTAACTTAGACTATAATTCTCTATTTACCAAAATATGATTAATGCCTTCTGATTTTAAGACTTGTTTTTAAATAGACAAGACACCAACGGATGTAGTAAGTTCAGCCTTGACTTTGTTATTGGTTAATCCTTCAAAATCTGTCCAAGATAAGTCCTCTCTTGCAGCAGCTGCAATGGTGACTTAATAAAGAAAAAAAAAAATGATCCTGACTTTATCATTTGCTGATTTTCATGTTGTAAATGCTCTCACTATGGCAAATATGAAACCCCAAACATTTTAACATCCATCTTGCAAATTATCTGATGTTTAACAATTGGCCCTTCCAGACAGTGCAAGCCAGCTCCAGAGGTCCACTCAGTCACCTTTGATGTTCTGTCAAGTTTGTTGAGCTAAATGAAGATTGTTTTGCTTGCTTTCTTTCTATGTCAAAAACTTTCTTTTCCTGGTAGGCTTAACTTTCTTCATACTATTGTTACAATTTTGTGTCATTTAAAAAATTTGTCTTTTGTTATGGTGCCCTTGCCTTTAATATCTATTTACCTACAATTTAAAGTACATTCTACCTATTTCAGTATTAGTTATATTTACACAATTTATTGTTAATTTTGTCTTATTTCATACTCTGAGTGCTAACTTTCTCCAGGTCATTTATTTGTCATCAAACAGTTCTTTCCCTTCGGTCAGTTACACACCAGAGAAAAGATCTACTGAACCTGTCAAATATTCATCTCTCTTTTAAAGGTCCTCTATTGCATATTACTTATCTCTCCTAATCATTGATGCCTATTATCTTCTTTATGATTATATAAAAGAGCGTAGTTCATTAACAGTGCTCAACATTCCTCAGTGTTCATGGATTCAAGTACAGTAAGTCTGCTCATTTATAAATGATTTTCAACATTTCTCATACCTGCCCAGCAAGGAAAAGGGCAGGGGCATTCTTTTTGCATTCTTTATTACCTCTTAATTGTTTACATTTCTTTTCTCCATTTTTTTTCTGTTGAAGTCTGATAAAGGAAAGGATCAATATCTCAAGTGTGTTACAACATCATTAATCTTATTTCTCAATTTACTATTACAAAATTTATTTTCTCTTTGCTTTTTCATTCTGTATATTTGTGAAAATAATTCAATTTTAATTAGCTTCTATAACTTTGTCTTATTTATCTTATTGAGTTTTGGATATGTTTTAACCATGGAGATTAAGTAAAAAATTATTGGTTTTGTTTTTCTCTTTATTTTAAAATATAGTCTTTTTACTATTATTTTTATAGGCAGTATCTCTAGCTATATGGAAATTGTTTTAAAAGTGATTATTTTAAAAAAGAAAAACCAAAAGGAAATCAGCCCACAATATCTGTGCCGAAAGTTACCTGCAAAATGTTTATGTAATTTTTATCTATGTAAAGAATAAGAGGCTAAAAAGGGGATGCACAGAGTTGGGCTTCCTTACAATTTTAGACTATTTACTTCTCATTTTTAGAACAATTATATTTAATGTTTCTTTTCTCTGAAAGCATATATAAACACTCTGAACTTATTTTTAGAAAGATTGTCAATTCATTATTAAAATCACATTTTAACACCTCAGGTTTATATAAATAAGCTCAATAGCTAATGAATAATAGTGATATTTCCCTTGGGGAAGTCTTCCACAGTCTTCTGTGTCATTGAGAGGTAACTCTCCATGAATATCTCCTGTTTCTGCATATCTTTCGAGTAGAGGCACTTACTGTCTTTTGTTCTGAACTATAATTTCAAGGATGTTTGTATAAAGTAAAGCCTTAGATGACAGAGACACTTTCTTCCTATGAAGCAAAAGGAGGTTTGGCATTCTTACTGCTCATTATAAAAGATCTGGGTTCCCTATGCTTAGTATTCTTCTCCTGTAATAAGATTTACTGTATGTGCAGGTAAACATCTGTCCATCTTTACACCTCCCTATGAGAAATGGGGCTCAGGAAACCAACACAAAAATGCTGTTATCCTTCTTACTGCTATTGAGGTAATAAATTGTGTGTTTTACCTCTGACCTAGGAATCTTGTTTCTTTGACCAGTATCCATGAAACTATGGCAGGTCAGCTTTGTAACATTCAAGTTGGGTTAAAATCTGAGACCTTTTGCCATTCTTGACACAAATAATAGACCACCATTGGCTATGAAATAAAATGATTTCTTGTAACAAAAGTTCCAAACTTCCTAAACCACCTCATTACCTTCTTATCAATCCATTCCTGCTCTGTGATTAACCCAGATTGATTTCATTCACAAAAAGTGAGATATAAAAACTGACTGCAGTCAGTTGCTGCTATAAAAGAGTAGGTGATCAGGTAATTGTTGGATTGAAAACTACAAAACTAAATGATTTAAGAGAAAACTAAAGTCTCAGCTGTGTGCTAGTAAATAAAAAATGCTACATAGAAACCCATGGTAATTTGTAAATCAGAAATGGGTCACTTCTTTGACTTGAGATGCAGAGCTGTTTACCACACTAAGAAACATTGCTATAGTCAACACTGCAGTCGGGAAGGACAGCTGGTGATCCGGACTGAGACAATATGGAACCTTTGTGTGAATTAGAACTCTACCTATCTAGGCATATGCAGCTTATCAGTTTGAAGACCTGAAGGCACCTTTGTGCAGGCACACAGTACTGAGCCAGGGCTCAGAGTGTGGTAACTCTATAAGCATATCTTAGTGATTTCAGCCTTACTCAGTTTCTCAGCTGGATCATAGGGAAGATCATAGAAACCACACAATCTCCAGCAGGAGCCACGTAGTTTTCACTTTCTGTGTCCCCGTGACTTATTAATAACAATAGCTACAATTTATTTAGCGTATGCTATGTGCCAAACACTATGTAATTTTATCCTCAGAACAACTGTATGAAACAAGTATTGTTATTAACTTCATTTTACAAATGAAGAAAATGAGATTTCCAGTGACCACTTAGACTATAGGTAGCAAAGGCACGGCTCAAAGTCAGATCTGTCTGACTCCTAAGTCCTTGTGAATAACCATCACATTCTCCTGCCTTTAGTATCTTCACCATCCAACCTGAAATAAAAAGCTGTGATACCTGATTGCAGCTTTTTAATGAACTTTATTTCTCCCCTTTCTCTTGCTCTTGAGCCTCTCTTGAATTAATACTCATAAAATAGTTATTTGTTGCTTTTTATTATCAATGTGATGATGGTAGAATCCAACCATCAGAGTTTAATTGTCCTGCTAATCCATTTGTTTTGTGCTGTTTGCTTTGTTATGCCTTTTTTCCTGCTAGAAAAAAAAAAAAGTTTGGCTGTTTCAAAAATTTAACATGTTTCCAATTTTTTATACTTTATTTTCTCTAACCACCTAGTATTTTGAAAATGAGAAAATACTAGGTAGTTATATCACCTAGTATTTCTTTACATACATTCTAATATTCCTAATTTTATGCTATTTTTGTCAATCTTTTTCTGTGCTTAGCATTCCTGACTTTTAATAATAAAACTAAATTGTCTCAATTAATTCTTTTGATTTTCTATTCTCATGTCTGGAAAAACATACCTTTTTGAATTCTCTGCTTCCCGTAATTCAGTGAAAGCTCATTAAGTTTAGGTCTCTTGAATAAAGAATTAATAATAACTTGAAATTAAATAGGCTCAAATGATCTATATTTTAAAGTTAGGGCATGTGTCATGGGTGTAACTTGATTCTCCTAAATCCACTGAGTTTTTTCTCCTCTCTATTTGCATGCACTTGCTTCTGTGAAAAAGAATGAGGACGTCTTTTGAGGGAGTTTGACCAGTGTACCTCTTTCTGCAACTAAAGGAAATTCAGCTACTACTGAGGGACAAACCAAGCACAGACAGATGTAAGCGATGAAACTCTACTGCAGGGGGTCTCAAGGCACATGTCCTTTTATATTTATCAATAATCAGTCTTGCCTTCTTTCCTTTGTAGAAAGAATCAGCTTTTCTTTTGACATTATGTTTTTACTTCAAAAGAAAAATTCTTTCTCTGTGTCTTTCTCTGTCTCTCTCTCTCTCTCTTTCTGTGTGTGTGTGTATATATGTATATGTATAAAATGATTATTAGGATATTATGATTAACAAAGTCACTTTCACTTAAAAATGCATTTGAAAAGACTTTAGATTAATGAGCTCCTAACATTTTTCTCTCTAGTGGCTGGATTCATATTCCAAATAATACATTTTTTATTCCTCTAATTAGTTTTGGAACATCATTAATAATGGACCATAGAAAAATTGAGAAACGTATACTAAGGGAAAAATTTTAATCAAACAACAAAAGTCAAACGTTAATTTTTTTTGTTTTCATAGCATTAGATTTAATAGTAAAATAAGCCATGATTTTCATTATTTGCATTTACATTATTGTTATCATTGAATGTCTAAGTTACACTCAGTGGTTACTTTCTGTACTCTTTTATCAATATCTGAGTATTATCTCATGAGATGCAATTCACATGAAATTTATAAAAATGGGGCATTACTGCCATACTTAAAATTATGACATTTTAATAATAGTGGTATAATTAAGTCATCACATTCCAGATATTTACTGCTGCATCAAATTCTGTTAGCGTTGTATGTTAATAAAATTGCTATGCTTTGTGAGGATACATATAAAATAAGCCTCAAAAAGATTTCATGTGTAAAGAATTTGATTCACATTTATTAACTTTATGAGGCATAATAACCTCTAATGACACAAGATACCAAAAATATGCAGTATTGCCATGGAGTTAAAGAATCTTCTAGTTGTGACAGCAACCAACTTAACGAGCTGATTCTAGCAATAATTGAATTTCTGTGCTTTTCTTTTAATTTCACTACCTGATGATACCTGAGAGCAGCAGACTTTATTTCAGAATCCCATTAGGTACCATTATGAGATCCTATTTCCTAGGGTTTTAAAATCTAATTGTCAGTCAATGTGTTACAGTAAGCCTAGCTTTCATTTGATTCTCATGGCTCTACACAGTGGGAAAAAAACAAAAGAAGTATGTTCCATCATCCTGTCAAGGAGGTTTCTTAACAAATTACCTTTCCCCTCAAAAGAAAACACAGGGAGACTTTTTTGTTGCTTTAACAATTCTCATAGTTCGTATCTTCCTTTCTAAGCTATTAAAGGGAACAAAAACTGAAAACCCATAGACGAGTACAGACATCCTGACAACTGATGTCCTTAAGATTTATGAAGAATTTTAAGTATTCAGTAACTGTATGAGACTAAGCTGCACTTTTTAAAAATATTTTAGATCTATTCATAACCCTAAGCTTTGTCTAAAAATACGTATCTAACACATATTTTATTTGACCTGGAAGAACATTGGATTTAAAGTTTGAAAATAATTATTTCCTTTTCTATTAGATATTTTGTGATGAAAGATATCTTCTATGTCTTTTTTTGGAACACTTTATTTTCTAGTTCTAGCACATTGCTGGATTTTTAAAATCACACATTTTGAGTGCAGTCCAATTCATTTTGGATTTCCACAAGATTCACCATGGCTACAAATCCGGAGTAAGCAACTCAAAGCTAGGGAAAGATTAAGTTATATGTTAAATTAGCTGGATGTTTTTGTAAACCCTGGGTTAGATATATTTAGGCTACAGTTATTTCACATAAAATAATTTTTACAAAGATAAAAATCTATCTGTGGGCTGGTATAATTCATAGATTTCTTACTGGTTTTTCATTACATGTGGAAAAACTCCTCCAGTGGTGTAAAACAAAAGTCCTTCAAAGACTGCAGAAAGAACAAACTGCTGCTTATGACATTATGACAGCAATTGCTTATATATCACATGCCCCATAGGACTAAAAAATAATGAATGAAGGCATGCCTGTCTTCCTTCAAAATCTTAAAGATCTTGGTCATTTGCTTTTAGCTTGATGGGGAGAATTGGTTTATAAAAGGTCTCAGATTGATCTGTCAAAACACACTGAAGTGGCCCTGGGTCCTGGTCAAAGAGTCAGCACAGCATGTGTGTGTGTGTGTGTGTCATGAATGCAGCTGTCCTGCTGTGATTTTTCCAGGTTTTGTTTAATGCATTAAGTTATAGAAGTATGAACTCAGCACTCAGTTCCCTCATACAGTCTGTCATAGACTATCCTGATCTGTAGTTTCCCTCCAGAAGCAGTAGGAAGAGCAGCACACAATAGTAAGATATAATGTGCCCTCTGGGCAGGAGCTAGCCTTAACACATGACTTTCAGTTCCACCCTTACTGCACTTCCCATTTATCCACACACACTTCTTAAGTTATTAAAGAGCTCAGGCTAGTGAATTGTTTCCCAATGAATATATAAATAGATGGGAAAAGAAAACAGACTTATAACACCAGCAGAGCAACAGCCCTTTGGAGATGCGAAATCTGGAGTGAAAGCAGCAACAGAGAAACTCCTAAAATAAACCTTCAGGCTTCCAGTAATTCTTAGATGTTAGGAATAAGGGTTAGTAACTGAGAAAAATGTTAATTTTTGAACAATCACTTGTATCCAGCACTGCGTTTTCTGTTTTTTTCATTAACTATTTGCAATAGTCTAATGAAGTAGACATAACCTTCTCCATGATACAAATAAAACAGCTGACACTGCCAGAGCTTTTCAAGGTTACCTAGTCAGTAAATAGCTAACATGGTTTTAAATGCACATCTTCGTGATTCCAAAGGCTGTGCTCATTATACCCAATGGTCCTTTAAATCTCATGCTCCTAAATCCATGAAAAATATAAGTACTATAAACTGTAGGAAAAGAATAACAAAAATTTACTTTTTATTATAATGTTTTTCTTCAGGTTTTAATACATCTCTGCTTACAGCACTTTTCATTGACTTCTTTGACTCCAAAGGCATTGATAAATGCTTAACCACAAGCATTTTATTTTGTATACTGTGCTGCACTCACTCTACTTTAGGCTGATGTCTTTGAAATATAAATAAAGTATAAATAGGCTTGAAATATGCTGTGAGTCCCTGCTATACAAACAAAGATTTAGAACATCAGCATATCACATTATAAGAAAAACCAGACATGAATATCAGATCAGACACTGTCCTTTAAAAGGCAGAAGGCAAATAGATGTTTAGTCACCACTTTTCTTTAGTTATTAGGCTAAATATAAGAATTCATGACAAGAAGATACATTTACATTTATATTAACACTTGTTGGTTTGTGTTTATAAATTTAATTCTGCTGGGATGGTAGATAGTGTATGCGTAACTTTTTCTAAGGGTAATTTTTGTAATTTGACAGTTATTAATAGATTGAAAAAATAATTTACTGTCTAAGATGGGACATTTTAAGAATTAACAAGGATATTAATAGTATCCTGGAACAAAAGGCATAAATGAGAATGTCCGAGGAAAATCGTGGTATCTGGTCAAATCTGGTCATTCTGTTTATGAAATGCCTATTTTGTGTTTAGGTTTATTCTAGAGGTTGTGGAAAGGCATAAAGAAATTAAAGGATGACCTCAAATGTTGACCATATTGTTAGAGAAGCAAAATTTACCAGTGGTACATCTAGAGATAATCTAAAACAGGACATGACTAATTGCTATACACAAAGTACTTTCTAAGAGAAGCAAAATTTACCAATGGTACATCTAGAAGATGATCTAAAAAAAGGATATGACTAACTGCTAAACATAAAGTACTTTCTAAAAGTACTATTTTAATTTCAATAGAGGAAAGTTCCTTGTGGAAAGGATTCATGCAGGGAAAAAAAGTGAATTTTGCTGAGTATAGAAATCTGGATTAATATACAGAGAAAAGCTAAAATTTAAGTAGCATTAATTTAATACTCCTAACCTCTTTTTTATTTCTAACGCCTGATTAACAATTCCACAGGACCACAAAAGGGTTATGAATAGATACAAAAGGTGACAGTAATAGAGGAAAGCTACCTTATTGTCTATGGTTGAAAATACATTGGACTTTAAGTGAGAAAACATTAATATCCTCTAACATTATATCATAACTCTAAATAAGTTTATCAAAATGTTTCTTTTTGTATTCAGTGAATTCATCCCAGAAGAGTGATATCAAAAACCTGGTGCCATAACCTGCTGCATAAAAAACAACCCCAAAACTCAGTTTTTGAAACCAGAATGTATTTTCATTGCCACAAAGTCTGTGGAGTGACAGTGGTTCAGCTGATGTAGATGGGGCTTGCATGGACAGTTATGCTTCAGGCTGTGTATTGGTTACACTTGGATCCAGGCTGTGGTTTGCTTCAGGTCTCATCCATGTTTGCTCATTCTGTGACCCAGAGGCACAGCAGCTTCCTTGGGCATGTCATTTTCAAGGCAAGGCACTGGAACAGAGTGAACAAAACCACACATATGTATTTAAAGCTTCTACTTGTGTCATGTCCACTAAAAATTCATTGGCTTAAATGAGTTATATAGTCTGGCCTAACATTGTGGGATGAGGAAATTTACACTCCATCATCAGAGGATTATAAATACTTATTGGGCAATAATTTAAATGATCACAGGAATTATCCACCAGGAAACCCTCGTTTTGTGCAGACTGTCTTTAAATAGAGTTTTCATCTTGCCATTTCTGATTGTGTTGTCGATTCTCCAGAATTAATTATTTTCATTATCTAATGATTATGTAAAGACCAGAAGAGTATCAGTCAGAGGCTCCATATGTAAACAGGTTTTACAGTTGAAGAAAGAATAAAAACTACTATTTACTACCTCTATTATATTGGAAACCCAAGTCAAGATATGAAGAAACACATTTCTGTTTAAATAAACAATTATTAATTTGTTCGAAAACATTTTCTTGGAGCATCTACTCAATTCCAGACACTGTCACTAGTACCAGACTCTAAGAATAGAAACATAAAAGCCACCCTGGAGCAGCCCACAGGCTATATCAGGGGGCAAGGTATGAGCAAGTGCAACCTCACCGTGTTAGTTTAACTTAGTTATAGTGATGTTGATAATGTTACATATAACTGCAAACCTACAGAGGGAGTACCATGGACAGGACACATTCTGGAACTAAAATGAACCAGTTAAGTAATATTGATACAAGTTGGAATAAAGCACGATAAGAGCTATAGATCCTCATTTTTCTTTTCTGCCTTCTTTTCAGCCACAGTACTAAACCTTAGAAGAACTGATTGTTTAATAATACCATTCAATCTGGAGAGTGATTAATCAAATATGCTTTTATTCTGTTTCTATGATTTGCCTGGTGTCCAGTGGTTATATAGGATAGAAATGATAGGTTTTATGTTGACATTTTTACATAAAGGGGCTGAACGATTTAGGACACTGGTTGTCAAAGTTCAGTGTAATAAAAAAAAAATCACCCAGGGTAGCTTATTAAAGGCAAGTTCAAGGCTTACATTCCCAATATTCTAGTACAGTATTATGGAGTGAGGCCCAGTACATTGCATTGTTAATAATCAATCCCTCCCTTCTCATTCCCCAGTCATTCTGAGGGAGAACGAACTTGTTTCAAATGTGGATACATTGCTTTACTCCAAGGTATTAGTGTTAATACTGGCAATGGAATTTGCAAAATTCTGCCTTTTATTATCCAATGTAATAATTTAGAATCACATGTTCGTTGTTGTAAATGAAGATTCAGTTTCACAGGGGCCAGGAGGAACCATTAAAGGTTAAATGAAAAGTAAAAAATGACTGACTGACCTTGCTTAGAGCAGAGTCTCCTTAATTGAATGGCCTATGTGTAACTTCTGCTCACATAAATATAGTTAAGAGTAATGAAAAGAAATCCAATTAAAATACATAAACACAAGTTAAGAACATTTGACAAAATACATTTTAAATGGAAAATATTTAAGAGAATAAAAATAACAAATTGTAATAAAAGACAAATTTATTAAGGAGAGAGACAGGAAAAGAGCTAATAGTGTAAGTAAACACCCAAGATAAAACTTATTCTGGTGAAAGTTTCAGGGAAAAAACTAGATAAATGATTTATGCAAAGATAAGTATAAGAAAAAAAAAGATAAATAGAAAAATAAGTTATTGAGAAAAGACAAAGCAGGCTATAAAGTTTTGAGATACATTGAAACAGATAAGGCAATCAAATACGTTATTTTAAAAAAACACGGAATGACTAAGAGATTAAAAACCATAATGGTAAAGTAACCGAGGTAGTAAAATGGAAATATAAAAATACTGAGTGCAAAGAAGAAAAAATCTAAAGGAGAAAACCCTAAAAGCTAAAGGAGGCAGTAATAGTAAATCTAAGACCCACTGTCTGTATGAAGCAGCAATAGGGTGTTATATACCAGCTGCAGAAGCTTGCAAATTTACAGTCAGTGTTTGGGCCATTGTTTCAGAACCTAGAAACCTGTCTTCTGGGGCCAGGGGTCAGAAAGCAAAACTGTTTTTTGTCTTTGCTATCACACTCCAGGCATTCAGCCTGCTACATTATCTGTAGAGAAAGGTCAAAAAACCAAACACCTTCTGGACCACATTTTTTAACCCTGTAGCAACTCCATACATTGCCTTCTGCTATTAAGCAGTGTGGTCCTTTGAGAAAGTTGCTTTGGTTTCCGTGCAAAACACCCAGTTTGTTGATGAGAGTGGGAGAATAGTACTTTCCTCTGCCAACTGGAGAGCTTACTTATATCCCACCTACTCTGTAGAGTTTATATATATCTGAAAAATAAGAGTCTTATTGATTTTCAGAAAACAGTTAAAAAGCTTTAGGTAAAAATCTTAAATTTTAATTGATAATAAAATTTTATTATTAATATTAAAAGAGCCCTGAATTATCTCAGATAATCTCTGACAATATGGGTATAAAGGTTGTCTTGTACTTTGTCACTCAGAGTTATTTAGCTTAATTAAATATTGCTGGCACTTAATAAGTATTAGTTTTTTCTTTCTTCCTTCATTTATTCGTTGACTTGACAGATACTCACTGAGCACCAGCCATATGTCAGGAAATGTACTAGGTGCTGATGTGTAAAGGTAAACAGGATAAACCAGGGGATTATTCTAATGAAGCTAATATCTTGAAAGATGACTAAATAAGAAAAAACAATAAACAGCCACAATATCAGATAGTGATATGTCTTATGGAGGGATTTAACTGTGTTGTTATGCTAGTGAGCAGCTGCTCTGCTGTGAGATACAGAGTAGACGCCTATGAGAATATGATTTTGAGGCTGAGCTGTGAATCTCAAAAATGTGCCATCCATTTATAACTAAAGGAGAAAAGTCCTAAGAGGGGAATGAGCTCGCCATGCTCTAGGAACTGAAGGGCAGCCAACGCAGCCAAAGCAGAGGAGAAAAGAAGTGGTTGTCAGGTGACATTCACAATGTATGCAGAAGCCAGATCAGAAAGGTCTCCGTGAACCTGATGAAAAGGTTGTATCTTATTCTAAATGCAACAGGAAGGTGTTGGAGGGTTTTCAATGGGATTGCCATGACCTGATTCACATGATTAGGGCAATCTCATTCTTGCTGTTGTGGGCAAATAGGTCAGATAGGACAAGAATGGAATCAGGAGATTAGTTCACTTTGAGACCTGCGGTAGCAGTTTACTCAAAGAGATCATGTAGGGTGGAAACAGTTGTGATGGGGCGAAGTGGTATGATCTGGATACATCTCAGATGGCAAAGTCCATAGAACTCTCTGCTTGCTGGTGTAATAAAAGAGGAACTTAAAAGTATTATTTTTTAAGCAACCAGATGGATGATTGCTATTCTTGTTGAGAGTGGGGAGCATTGGGAAAGAGAGAAGGCTTGGTCAGAATCAAAGTGAAATAAATAGGAAACCTCCCTTGGCAGCTTGTGTCTAACATGCCTATGTAGTTACATCCACCTAGTAATATAGGGTTCTGGGCAGAGAGTTACTACAGCTCAAATCATAACTGTGGGAATGTGTTGATTTGTTGATTGATTAGAAACTTCAGTTACTTTTTTTATCTCCTGTGATGTCACTGTTTTCTAAATAACTCCTAGTAGAATACATTCTTTGTAGTAATCTTTATGAAGAATTAGGCCAGTCCTATACGTCTGCATTGTAATAATTTATGTCTGTTGGTCAATTAAGTTTGCTCATCAGTAAACCCAAGGACATTGGCAATGTATAATCTACATGACTTGTAGAGCTGTTGGATATGTCCTTCCAGAAACCTGGTTTTTAAAATATTTTATTAATACTCTGCACCTTGCCTATTCTACCACATCTTTTTCCTTCTTTTGTCTGTAAATTGTAGTTTTCTGAAAGCTTCAGTTCTTAGTAATGGGTCCCCTCCCTGAAATTTAAATATAACAGTAAATTTTTAATCACAGTTTTTCTCTTTCTAAAAGGATGATAAAATTATTATTGGCCTCTTAGGATTATTACAAGATATGATATTGGAATGAGACTTCCATTTATATAGATAAATATTTTCAGTATCATTGTTACTGGCAGAAACAGTATCCATTTTATCAATATAAGAAAAATAAAACATAAACAATATTATAAAGAGCTTTACTTTCAGTGATGTCATCACGTTTGTGTTTTCCTTGGTTTAAGATCCTTTTTGTTGAGTTCACCTTAGCAAGAGGAAATTTAATGAAAGAATATTAGGGACTCTTACATAATTGACAGCCACCTGGGAGACAAATCTTGGGGGATGAGCAGAAATCAAAGGGGCTCCGATGGGAAGAAGACTCAGACAGCAGGGAGCTCAACAAATAATATCCTGAAGTTAATTGGGCCTTTCCCATGACTGCTGCTGCTGCTGCTGCTGCTGCTGCTGCTGCTGCTGAGCTATAATAAATACTTCGAAGGGTACTTGCTTGTCCTGTTTTGGCTAGGTCGACTTAAAAATTCTGGGAGAGAACTCTTTGCCTGATCTCCACTGGAGTATAAAACAGCGATATAAGGCTCTTCTGGTCACCTTCAACAATTCAAGTAAAGAACATGTCACTTCCAACAGAACAGTTATTAAAGAAGGAGAACAGATGCTGGACTACTAAAAACTTACCAAGTACTACTATAGCCTTTTGTAAATAGTGTCTTCTTAATTAAATTATCAGTCATTTACAAATATCCATTATATATATACTTAAAAATATGTAAAATATATATGTATGTGTGTATGTGTGTGTATAATATATATATAACATAGGATACACAAAATACCAATAAATACAATGCTTAATAGTGTTTGGTAGATATAAATAATGATTATCAATATCATTGCCAACATAAATATGACACAGGCAGTTTATGTCAGCTGTATAAAGAAAGTAAAACATTCACAATTTATTTTAGATTATATAGTAGCTTATAACCCAGTGTTTAAAAAGAACCCTTGTCTATTGTAAACCCAATATCTTTCAATACATATTTGTTTAAATATATAGAATTAACATTTTAATAAGTGCAATTGAATTTTTAAAGAACCAAATATCCAAAATAATTTGAATATATGTTCAAAGTGCAGTAGTTCATTTCACCCTAATAACTTGCCCTTCTAGTTATTGCATTTTTATGTTAGTGCACTGTCAGTTCTATAAAGCACTGTTTTCACAATTTCCCCAGATAAGTAATGTACAGAAGGAGGCATACATTCTTATTAATCAACAAAAGTTTCTGTCAGTCCCAGCCTTCAAATGTTAAATTGTATTCTCTTCAACAAGCCACAAAGCCCTTTTTGATATTAAAATATCTTTAATCTCATCATGGCATGCTACACAGTCCACTCCTTTAAGCTATTAATCTAATTATATAACCTCCCTGACCAAGTCACTCACTTTAAGAGGACTTCCATTTTCCCATCAATTGTAAAGGCCCAAGAAAAAGAAGATAGCTCTTTCCAAACCTCAAAAGGGAAGAAAGTGATCTATTCTTTATTACACTCTATTATGTCCTTAAAAATCTTATCATGTATTAGTAGTAATATTCATGACACCGGAGTATACTTCCAATAGTCAGTTCTCATGGTTATCAGAAAGCTTCACTTTAGCATTTAATCAACTCTAAAAGCCATTCATTGGTTTGGCTATTCCCAGTGCAAGGAACATTATCCATAAGAAGTTTTTTTTTTTTTTTTTTTTTTTTTGCATGGAAAAGCAAGATGGCGTAGGGGATGAAAGGCAGCTCTACTAGGGACTTACCTAGTTTTTAAAATGGCATTTTAATTTCCATAATAGCTGCTCCAAAGAACCAGTTGAGTGGCTGTTTAATCTACTGAGTTTAGAAAAAACTGAAAGCCATCTTGCTTTCTGTCTTTAGGGATCCTTCCAGGGATTGAGTATCTTGGTATAACCTCCAACAAAGCAGCACCCCAAAGGCTGAATTTTGTAGCTGTAGTAGAATCTTCTTTCTTTTATGATGATTATTGGGACACAGAAAGTTCTGTCAAATCCAAACAAACTTTTATTTCAGTGGTGATAATATCTGTTGTTCTTCCAAATGAATTAGCTTCTTAGAAGCATATTGATTGAATCTAGGTTAGGAGATTTGAATTTCTGAAAGCATAAAACCCTTGAACCTCTACTTTCTACTTACCCCGTGAAACATCATCTCTGAGGACTTTGGGGAGCAGATAAGCTATTACTATTGTCTCATTATTATTACTATATTTTTATTAGCTTAATAGGAATTCAGTCATTGTTTCCTTAAAAATATAACCCATTTATCAGCCTGGAGCTAACAACACTGAAGGAATAAGGAGTCGGCTCTCTAAGCAACTCAACCCCAAATCCACAGTTGCTTTTACTTTGTGTATTTATTATATGTGACCTCTATGATGTGTTTAATACTTGATTTAACTTATTCTTACCCCTTTTATTGTCTGTGTTGCCCTTCTATATTTGTGACCATTCATTACCTACTTTGCTAATTCTGTTTGTCCTTCTGAAATCTGCCTTGTGAATGTTTACCAAGCTTACAGTCTGAAAAATGAGGAAAACCTTTATTTTCTTGCTCTATGAACTTCAATTCTTGCTTTTACATCTGAGCTCTAATCTCAGATCATATTACTATTTTGAACATTATGCTTGAAATTCCTACAGGAATATCCCATTAGCACTTTATGTACAATAATTAAAATGCTCAACCACACACAATTGTTTAGTGTATGTATGTTTGCCTCTGCTTTTATTATCAAATATTTGAGAGAATGGACAGTGTCTCTACTCCGGTTATCCCACTACAATTCCTCATTAGTTTTACATTACAGGTACTGTATAAAGATGCTGTTTACTCATGATGAAGAAAATTACTCATTATAAAATAAAGGTTTGTGGCAAGCTTTGCATTTTACTTACTTTATTTTACAATGATCTATGTCAGTATCTTCTAAGAACTAATGCTGATAATGTTAAGAAAAGCTGAAGCTGGACAGTAGTTAAAACAGTAAAAATGAACTTTATTCAGGAGTTACTGCAATAGAGGAAGAGAGATCTCAATATAGAATTGGGCTTAATTACAAATACAACAAAGAAAAGTGGGGATGAATAGCAAAGGAGCAGGTTTGTGGTAGTGGTAGAGGTGGGATGGAAAATGATTAAGAGGAGACATAGAGGATGAGAATTGAATATTTGCTGAACAGGTCAGAGTGATCAGATATTGAGGGTAGGGGATGTGGAATTTCATTAGATATTGAGGATCAGATATCAAATGTGGGGAATTCTCTCTAAACTGACTTAGTATGATTCTTACTGAAACTGGGCAATGAAGTCCAGATAAAGATGGACACTAAAGCCCAAATTGAAGCATAGTTGGGAAGAGGGCTTGGAGGAGCCTGACTAAGATTTGATCAAGGAGACAGTAATTGTCAGCAAATATACATGTAGCTACCAAATAGCTAAAATTCACATCAATGTGCTTGACAGCATGTTAGGTCATTTGTATATATTATCTTATTTCAGTGCCACCACATTATCTTGTTCAGGGCTCAGTCAGTCTGGTAATTTTCTTTATTATCTATATTAGAGCTAAAGAAATTGAGGTTCAGAATAATTAAGCCACTTGTTCAAGATCTGGTCACTAACAAGCAGCAGAGTGAAGGGTCAAACCCAGGTCTGGCTGACGCCAGAATTTTACTTCCTAACAACTTGTCAGGGAGACAGCAAAGCTTCAGGGAGAAGAGCCCCAGTACTCTGGCATGACAAATACATTGCTCTCAGGCCTAAAGGGAACGTATCAACTGAGATAACAATAATCATGAAACCCAGACAATATAGAGAATGAAAGACAGATGAAGAGAGGGCATCCCCAGTATGTTGGCTTTGGATGTGGCCCAAGTGTTTTGCCTTCACTAGAGGATGGACACTTTTAAAATGGCTTAAGGCAGAATTTTCTCCAGCACTATGGACTGGGGACTCAGTCTAAATTAATGTCATTTAGATAAGAAATGAGGCATGCATTATTTTTACCCATAGGGTTACAAGGATGAAATTTTTATGTTTTTCCCTTATGTACTATAGCTTTATATTATTAAAAATCTATAGTCTTTAAATTCAGAAAAAATTGTGCAAAATTCACTTGTATATGTTAAAATTTACAAATTCAAAGCTTCAATTAAAATGAAAGATTACATGTTTTCTTCTCTTTGCCGTACCCTTTTATTCTTCTGGAATAAAGACTAAAAATCAGGGGCTGTGTTCTACAAAGATGTAGACATGCATGCATTAACCTCGTTTCCATTTCTGAATGATTTGGTGGTTGAATTTCCCAACAGTGAAGTTGCACCTAAACTTGATCAATTTCAGTGTCATCCACAGATGTCCCTAAAACCGTTAGTGACTAATGAATTGTTTAAAGGACCTTAGTAGCTCATTTGTCTCATCCAAACCCCATCAACTCAACCTTTGAAAGCATATTTTTTTGTCATTAGAAAATTGAGTCCATTGTCCTTTAATTTTTAAATGACATGTATTTCAAATCAATTAAGGCAGAAAGACCAATTATCTGGTGAATGTGTGACAACCAAAGTGTTTGGAATAGCTGATGCAAAAAGATAGCTACAATACATACCTAACTATGTACTGACGAATCAGGTAGAGAAACCAAAAAGGAGATACTAACATTTTAGTTCCTAAAGGACTATTAAGTAACATATGTATGTCTTCTTCCAATAGCTCCCAGTGGTTTTTTTAGTTATGAAAACTTGTAATTAAAGGCTTCATCTTTTCTATACCTCTTTGAGGGATTCAAAAATATTCATGGCTTAAAAGTTCTCAGTTGTTTCTTACTGTTAAACACTTTTATCTTTTTTATTCTAATCTTCCAATATCTTGGGTTATATAATCTGCAATTTATTCTGTAATTAAAACATAACACTTTAATTTATAAAATTCATTCTTAGAAAAATAAACCAGAGATGTTTTCCCTTCATGTTTTGTATTATCTATAGTAATACATCTGATCCAAATTCTGGTCAGATAAATGCACATGCTATGCAAAATTACAGTATGTTTATTGTAATTTTTGTAAATGCTACAGTCATGGGATTTTAATGCACTTTTAATTGTCATAGTGTCACTGAAAAATTGGGTATATTTAGCAAGTTAAAAATAAACCCTTTGCTTTCATTCTTGCAAAACAGTTACTTGAATGCATATATGTGGTGAGGAAATGTGTATGTACTTGTAAGATACTCCAACTACATGATGTATTATTGAAGTTTTTACTTTATAACAGCATTTCCCTATTTTTAATCATACTGACTTCATCTAATATATTTTATTTTAAAAATCCAAACTTTTTACTTATAAATTATCTCACTTAGCAAAGAAATAGGTGAAAAATATCCTAGATTTGATTTAATACCACCAAGTTGTTTTACTCCTAATTTGATTAAGCTATTTTTTTTTGTAGGTGAGTAATTTAAATGGGGATATGTCAGGAAATGCCTTGTTGAATAAAAAGATTTATCCCTTTGTAAAAAATATATAATTTAAATACAGGAAAATAACGTTTTTAATGTCCAACTGTACAACTTTTGACAAATTCATATACTTGTGTCACCATCATCAAGATAAAGATATAGAATATTTCCATTGCACCCCAGAATTTTCCCTGAGTCCCTTTGTAGTCAACTTCCTATCTCATCCTTAGCCTGTGGGCAACACTGATCTATAATCTGTCCCTATAGTTTAGCCTCTTCCAGATAGTTTTATAAAGGGAAGTATTTAATATGTGGCATTTGGAGTCTTCTTGTAAATTGCATAATGCTCTTTAGAATCATCTATATTGTTGGGTTTATCAGTAGTTTGTACCTCTATACATCTCAGTAGAATTCCATTTTCTAGATGTACTAGTTTGTTCATCTAGTCTTCAACTGAGAGACATTTAGATTGTTTCTAGGTTGGAACAATTATGAGCAGATCTGCTTTAAATATTTACATAAAAGTTTTTGTGGGAACAAAGGTTTTCCTTTTACTTGGGTGAAACCTATGAGTAGGACTGTTGAGTCATATAGTAAGTGTAAGTTTAATTTTATAATAAAATGTCAAACTGTTTTCACAATTTGTCATTTCATATAAGCAACATATGAGAATTCAAGTTGTTGTACCTCTTTGTCAGCTCTTGCTGGTATCAAATAGGTCTGTTGTGGTATCTAGTTGCAATGCTGATTTGCATTTCCCTAATGGTTAATGGGGTTGGCATCTTTTCATGTCCTGATTTGCCATTCTTTGGTGGGTGAGTTCAAATTTTATTTACTTATTTAATTTTTAGTTGTTACCCTTCTTACTAAGTTTTAGAAGATGTTTATATATTCTAGATATGTGCTTTATTTTATATGTGCTTTGAACTTAGTTTCTTTTAGTCTGTCACTTTCAATTTAATAGTGTCTTTCAAAGAGCAAATGTTCTTAATTTTTATGAAGTCCAATTTATTCATATTTTTTGTTTTGATTCATTCTTTTGGTTTTTGTATCCAAGAATATCTTACCTTAACAAGGCTCACAGAAGTATTCTTCTTTGTTTTCTTCTAGATGTTTTATGATTTTATGTATTGTGTTTAGGTCAGTCATAGATTTTGAGTTAAGTTTTGTGTATGACATGAAGTAGAAATAATGATTACTTTTTGGATACGAATGCATACTTTTTATCATTCTTTATTGAAGACTACCCTTTCTCCATTGAATTGCTGTTGTAACTTTGTCAAAAGATTGACTCTATATGTGTGGCTTTATTTTTAGGCTCTCAATTCTGTTCCATTAATTTATGGGTTTGTCCTTTCTGCAATAAAATGTGGTCTTGATTTCTGTAACTTTACAATAGGTCCATATTTTTGGTAGTTTGAGTCCTTCAACTTTGTTCTTATTTTTTGTTTTTCTAGGTCTCTTCATTTTCATATATAATTCAGAACAGCTTATCTATTTCCATGAAAAAATAAACTGTTCA